CTGAACACAGTGGGAATTATTCCTGTGTAGCTCACAACAGAAGAGGAAGTCATAACGCCACTTTGTATTTGACTGTTGTGGCAGGTACGTTTTTCAATTCGCTTGTACACATCAGATGTTATAATACACCATATGATGTAATTAGGGATTTTGACTAATTTTGTCAGGATTTCTTGTTTTGGTCGTGATGTCCATGTGTTCCCAGACCTCTGCAATTAAACTCAACTTTGTCATCAGAAATATAGGCCATTTTGCACAAGCACAACAAGCAAAACAAAATGTTGGTTTGTACGGGTGCAGTGTTTCTGTAAAAGGGCTGAGGCAAATTAAAAATCAGATTACTGAGCTTTGCACTTCCACATTTGAGTGAAACCACTTGTGCACTGAAATATCAAACAGATATGCAAAGTGAAATTCAAGGTTAAAAATATCAATATGTCTGAGCTGTGTCTGGTTGTAGCGCCACCACAGACAGAGAAAGCTAACATTACTGATTCAAACAGTAAGACTGCTTCACTTTATGAGCTCCACAATGGACAACCTCAATAATAAGCCAAAGCACATTTTCATTTAAAGGATAAAATTGACACGATATCAGGGTGACATGATAAGGTCACAATGCAGACCTTGAACATACTTAATGGGTTAAATCTCCCAGCTGGTCATAGGGAACTTGGGGATCCCACAGGAGGACTGTACTTACAATACAATCTGTCTTCTTCTTGATTCTTACATGTACAAAAATAAAATGTTAAATCCCTCTATGGGGCCATTGGTCTTAAACACCTGAATTAAATGTGCTATTTTATCACAGTTTCCCCAGTAGTCTGGAAATTAGCAGTTATTGGAACAGCCCCTGGTGTTTTCCTGGTAATCATATGGCTCTCTGTCTTCCTACTGATAAGGTGAGAGAATCAGTTATACTTAAGCAGTTTACATTAAATATCTAAAAGTTAGTCTTGTTAGCAGTCAGTTTGGCAACTAAATGATCTATCCTTTTGTTTTTAATGAATTCTCCTAACCAGAAAAAAGAGGACCTCAAAGAGACCATCTGAGCCTGGAGAAAAACCAGATGACAGGGTGAGCAAGGAGAGTTAAACAACTCATGGTAGTCTTCTGGCAAATGCTGGATTGCCTCATCTGTTCAGGAATGAGTTACTGCTTCAAGTGAAAATGTTCTGTTATGTTGAGGTTGTAGTCATGAGCGAGCATAAAATGGAGCATTGTATCATCACTAGATTGGAGCCTGATGGTGAAACGCTCAGTTTACTGTCAGTCTCTATTCCACTCCTCACCTGTGATCATAAAGTCTGGGTAGAATAGGTTTACTAATGAAAGCGGGTGAATTCAGCTTCCCTCTGTGTGAGTGTGTTAGCTCGCTCTTAGGAAAAGGTTAAGGGGATCTAATGCCTGGAAGGGGCTAAGAGTAAAATATTTTTGTGGTCCAGAGAAGGCCTTAAAGTTAACTAGAAGGACTTGGATGACATGGCTGTAAAAAGGGATTCTTGGCCAACGTGACTCTGACAAGGGATAAGTCAAATGTAATGGATGCATGAAGACTCAAGAACATGTACTACCCCGGTTGCTTACATGGTGTGCCCGATGTATTAAGGTTGAGCCCCCAACCCAACTCGTTGCTGCTTTACTGCGGGTTCTCCCCTCTCTCTCCCCAGTTTCTATATTCAGCTCTGTGTCCAAATAAAGTATGAAAGCCCCAAATTCTTTTTTCAAAAAGATTTTAAAAGGTTATTGCTACAGATGTGAAATGTAAAAGCTATTTTGTCTTTGCAGTATCTAGCCAATCAGTCGGAGGAGCAGGATGACCTTCACTATGCCAGCATCAACTTCTCCAACATTCAGGCAGATCCTGTGTACGCCAACATCAGAGCAGCTCGGCCCCTCAGACACAGACAGGAAGAAGAAGAAGTCATTGAGTACGCTGCTGTCAGCTTTAACAGGGCCAGTACTGCCCCGAGGTGAGCAGCTCTTCACACAGGAACATTATCCTCACTAAAACTTCTAAATGTATTTTGTAGAATTGATGATGAAATATAAGATGTTTACACTTTTATGTTGTAATTGCTTGGTTTGGTTTACATGTTTGCTATCACAGTTGTACATTTGTATTAGTTGGTAGTATATCTCCATGATCCCCTGATTTATTTATTTTTTCTTAGAACTGGAGGTCCAGAAACGGATGGGGATCCAGCTGCCCTGTACTCTACAGTCAACAGAACTGTTTAATGCAACAGAAATCTCTAGTTCATTTTTTATTTTATTTTTCATTTTCAGCCATACTAGCAGCAAGTGTCTGGAGATGGGAAAGTTAATCGGTCAGTTGGTTAGTCGTTTGTCTGAGACTTTGGTGAAATAGCTCAACAACGACTCAATGGAGTGCTTTAAATGTTTGTTCTCACATTCATGGTCCTACTGTGTTGGTGATCCCCTGACTTTAACTCATCAGTAACAACATTTATATACCCAGAGGATAACTTAAAATGACTTTTGTGATCCCTTAACATTTTTACTTGTTTTTCACGCTTGAATTTCCCTCTGGATAAATAAAGTATCTCTCTATCTCTCTATCTCTCTATCTCTCTCTCTCTATCTCTTCAGGATAAGAGGAGATAGGGACGAGATAGGAAGGATGATGGTTTTTCTATCCGAGGGAAATTCATAGACGTTAAAACAGTTAAAAATGTTAAG